CAAGTATCGTCATTCCCTGCTTGGTGTTGTGTACACAGTTTAGCAAATTGAACACACCTGTGAAACGTACACAGTTTTTGTAAACAGGGCACGAGCTCTGTTACTGTTAAGGTTTACGATTCACCGGGTGTGTTCAATTGTTAAATTCTGCTAACCACAACTGCACGGACTGACAATATATTGTGTTTTGCTTCTGAGCATTTTTACTCTGAATTTTCTGGATTATAGTTTTAATTTTTTTCATTAATTCTAAACAAGATTGCCACTTTTCTTAAGCATTAATACAATGTAATAAAATTTAAAATTTGTGAAAGTGCAAGGATTTGTCAAACAAATCCGTCCAAAAATTTGAAATTTCAATTAATTTTTAGATGAAATAAGTTTTTGCATATATTTTCGTGTGAAATGCTATTGTCACAATCAATGTTGATTTTGATATAAGTACACTTATTTCTATTTTATTAGTATTGTCCTGTGGTGACCCTTGTTTGTATTATGGTGTTTATCCTGCAAGGAGCCCCACTGTGATGCTCAGGTGATTTAAATATTTGGCCAGTCTCTATATAAGGTGATGTCTGGTTTGTCTTGGGTGGCGCATGTTTTCCTTGACCAGTGAAAGTAGTTTCACATGTCCATGGAGGGTTAGATAGTTTTATTCGTGGTAACTGAATCTCTAATCAGGGTGAGAGGAATTTACTTACATTTATTATATTGAAAAGTACACGGCGGGGAATCTACGTCATCGTATGGGATTAGGACACACAAAAATGGAGGACAAATGCTCCGCTTCGATGTAAGAAATGGATATTTTTGCACTTATAAAGAATGGATATTAAATCAGTATCCTGCCTAAAGTATGCCAAAGAACGTCAGCTACAATATGTATTGTATGTTTGTTCGTGATAGAATCTTATTGCTCCAAACACTTCGACACAGTTTGAAAACAAGTGAGAAAAACCCGGGACGTGGGGCACACTTTTTTTAAAATTCGACTTATTAATCGCATGTCCAGATGTACTAGACATTTTATTCTTCCGCGTTTACACTAGATCTAACATTTTAAAAAAATCCAGATTTGTTTAATAGTTTATTATGCTTTAATTATCCAAGAAAAAAGAATAAATCATTTTGTTTTCGGAAATGATGTAGGGCACACCGACACTAAAACGGATATGGGACACACACTAAGTTACTTTCAAATTGAAACATCGAGCAACCATATCTTAATGTTTCCATTTAAATGACTGCTGTTAGTTAGTATACTCGTATAAACAATAACCTGTAAAACTCATCTTTGTAATACTCATCCACATACTTGATTCCCTTGGTTTGCTTGTATCCAAACAAAATTGTAAGTTGAAAATGCTGGTCTATTCCTCAACAAAAGCTTCCAACAAGAATTTTAAATTTTGACTTTTATTAAATTTCATGTAGAAGTTTACCGGTGTTCACTTGTGCAGATCTATACTATAGAAAGAGGGGGACCAAAGTCCGGAGATTGTGTTTATTTTATGATATTTCTATTTTAAGTTTTTATTTTAAGTTACACGACATCCGCCCCCCCCCCCCCCAAAAAAATGAAAATAAAAACACACATACACACCCAGGAAATAAGTTCTTTTTAGGTTGGTTGTTTACTCTATTGCTTGTCAAAATAGTTTGGAGTCAGAAAATTCTTTGGAGTTTGTGTGGACACCCCCCCCCCCTTCCATCCCCCGAAAAAGTTCTTTAATCTGCATATTGGTGTCAATAATAAGATCTTGGGAACTAGCATGTCTTTTAACATGGGAAAAAGATCAAAAACTTTTCTTATGCTCAAATATTAGCAACAACTGACCTTCCAGGTGAATATAAGATTTTTTTCCCTACACATGCTACAATGGTCTATAAATAGATCAGGAAATTCCAAATTGAAACAAATATTTTCGGAAAGCTATTTTATTTGCTCCTAACTTGCATTCAGGTGAACATAAAATTAGTAATCGAATGTATGAAAGTGGTTGCCAGTGATGGGGAGGGCCAAAACAAAAATGGAAGTTAAAAATTGTCTTTTCGTTGTTGCCAATCAAAGTTTTTAGCTGTCATTTTTCTCTGATAATACCCCCCTCCAAAACTTATCCTATAAAAGAGCTTGACATTATTTCCTTTTTTGGTATAGCTACTATAAAGTAATTTTTTACAAAAAATCCCAATTTATACTGCTATAGTATTATTTATTTAACCCTTCTCCTATCATTGCTTTTGGCTAATATTGCAGCAAATGTAAATAAGATAGCATGAACTGCTTTATGAGTACGTAATATTTAATCACTGATTCATATACATGTATAATAAAACAATAATTGTTGGGGTTTTTTTTTCAATCAATACGATGATTTAGCCACCTTCGAAGTACTATATACAACTTTGTCTTTTTTTCTCAAATATGGAGTCGGTAATAAACAATTAGAATTTTGACACAAGTTTGTCAGCTGTTGCAAATATTTGAGCATAAGAAAAGTACCTTAATCTCCGCTTCCTATCAGCTGACATACTAGAGTCTTGCCGACAAAGATTTAATAAATACAAACACTGAATATACGAATACAAAAACTTTTCGAGGGGGGGGGGGGGGGGGGGGTCTACACACACTAAAAAAAAAGTTCTGACTCCAAAATATTTTTAACATTTTTTTTTTTTAACAATATAATTAAATTAAACAGTTATATAAATGACCAAGTTACATAATTATATTGTTCTCAGTGTCAATGATCATACATAATACAAGTGTCCAGAAGAATGTCAATGATCACAAAACAATACAAAAATGTGATGCTATACATGTATAAATTTAAATGGCTTAGCATGCATAAACATGATGACATAATCTACATATTTATACACTGGTTCTTTTACCATTTTCAGATATAAATTTTCCAAGTAAGTATAAAATTTCTTTATCTTTATTATTCAATATCCGTATAAGTTTTTCAGCAGGTGTCAAAAAAGAGAAGTTTGGGTTGATTTTTAATACTGTTTCCATTAATTGCAACCTTTCATTGCTGTATTTTGGACAAATGAGCAAAAAATGTTGTTTATCTTCAACTTCCTGTATATTACATCGAGAACACTTTCTAGATTCAGGGGGAAGTCCTGCATAACTTCCCCTTTCAATATTTAATTGATGTGCAGACATGCGAAGTTTAGTTATATTTTTCCTCTGCTCATAGTTATTGACAATATGGAGATAGTATTCTCTTCCAAAATTGGTTTTGAAGATGGAATAAGTTCTTAGTTTACCATCATTTTGCTGCCTATTTTCTCTATACCATTGGTTTAAAAAATATTGTCTTATAATACATGATGACTTCTTTTTAAATGAACAAATACCATATTTTGATAAGTCAATATTTTTGAAAGCAGTTAAATGACCCAAAATTGTCTCAATGGATGCAAACCAAGATGGTTTATTTTCTAAAAAGAGGCTTTTTGAGACGGAGTATGCTTCTTTGAGTACGACAAAAGATGGATGTCATGTTTTTAGTTGAAATCAGTAACTTAGCATAGCTTTAATAACTGAATGATAAAGTGGAAGAGTCATTGTTCATATACTACCAAACAGCAGTCATTTAAATGGAAACATTAAGATATGGTTGCTCGATGTTTCAATTTGAAAGTAACTTAGTGTGTGTCCCATATCCATTTTAGTGTTGGTGTGCCCTACATCATTTCTGAAAACAAAATGATTTATACTTTTTTCTTGGATAATTAAAGCATAATAAACTATTAACATAATCTGCATTTTTTTAAATATTAGATCTAGTGTAAACGCGGAAGAATAAAATGTCTAGTACATCTGGACATGCGAATAATAGGTCGAATTTTAAAAATGTGTGCCCCACGTCCCGGGTTTTTCTCACTTGTTTTCAAACTGTGTCGAAGTGTTTGGAGCAATAAAATTCTATCACGAACAAACGTACAATATATATTGTAGTTGACGTTCTTTGGCATACTATAGGCAGGATACTGATTTAATATCCATTCTTTATAAGTGCAAAAATATCCATTTCTTACATCGAAACGGAGCATTTGTCCTCCATTTTTGTGTGTCCTAATCCCATACGATGACGTAGATTCCCCGCCGTGAAGTAATACAGTGTTTATATTAATTGAGCTTATTCTATTTTTATCCACGAGAGGTGTTCGAATTGTATACGGGAAATGATACCACGTGCACATGCCTTGAGTTTAACCGTAAAGTAATGATATAAGTTTATTACTCAGAGTGTAACGTTATATTGTACATTATTTTGCTTTGCCGTAAGAAACAGTGTGATATATATTAGTTAAAACTGTATGTTTGAACTATATGTGTAAACATTTATGATGTGTTGTAAGGCAGCCTGTTTGGGGTCAAGCTGTTATATAAGTCTACGCATATTTGTTGAAGGTTCCTGTTGATACATATACATGCGAGTGGTTACACGATAGTTTGGTGCTGTCAGCGGTGGCAACCTGGTAGACTACACGAGGGTGTGGTACGCTAGGCCGAGACCGTGTGTGGGGAAACGTGGTTTCCTGGTTTTATCAGCACTGTGGATGCTTAAGACGCTTTGGATTGGCGCGGGACGTCGATTGGATTGGATTGGATTGGAGGGGATGTTGTGGCATGTAGTGCAAGGGCGTGGTACCCGTAGGTCATGGACCGTTAAACACAGTAAATGGACGTGGACGGCTATAGGAGCGTGGTCCCAGACTAACGGGAATAGACATTTTAAAATTATGCTTTTATTTTCAACTTGTATATTTGTACATATTTGTTTTTATATAAAATTGTAAATAGAAAAAAATCTTGTAATCACTGATCAAGCTTAGTTTGTCGTGACAGCTATTGCGATATATAAGTTGTGATCTTTTACAGAAAATTTGAGAAAATATTAACTTCAAATCTGTGTCTGCACTTTTAATCACATTATACACATATAGATAAATGCTTATATACGAAATAAATCCTTACTCACCGATGAACAGAAGGGGCATTTGGAAACTGAAAAAAAGCAAAGTATGGAGTATTTAGAAACAATATGTTATATTAATTGTTTTCATTTAGAATTTATTTATTACTTTAACATAAAAGTAAATAAAAAAAAGAAAAGAAAAATAGAGCATTGAACTTACATTGGGATCTTTGTTTCCTATCAGTATCTGTAACAAAACAGAGGATAGGAATGAGTTTTGGGGGGGGGGATTTATCTAGGATTTGGGGGAAACTACCCTTTCTTTGAAAATTAGGAAAATCAGCTGGGGTCTGGGGCAAATCCAAATCCCCACTGGGTGCAAGGCAAGCACAAATGGGAAATGTAACTGAATTTCATCATTCTTATGACCACTTAGATTGCATATAATACCAAAGTAAAACCATATTTCACATCTTCTGAACATTTTACATTAAATTTCCTCTATTTATGAAGGAAAAAAAAAATATTCAAGCTTTTTATCATTGTCAGGTAATTTTTTTTACTCATCAAGAGAAAAAAAGGTAGAACTTGTGGATAAGGGATGGCTACCCTCGAGAATAACTAACATGTATGGACAAACACCCATATTGATATTATATACCACCCCCTACTTTTCAACTAGGGGAAATAACTCCCTTTAGGCCAAATATGGAGGAAAAACCCTTAGCCACACAAAAAACAAGAGGCACACGGGCCTTACCTGTCACCTGAGTATCATGTAACAACTTTCCAACAATTGAACTTGGTTCGTGTGTTAAACCAGAGGCCATGAAATTCACAATTTTGAAAGAGGCACCATTGCTTATCATAACTATGCACTTTGCTTGCTTACTTTGATTACTTAAAACCCAGAGGTAGATCAGAGTAACAAAGAGAAAATGCACCTCCACTTTATAACCAGTTGTGCACCCCACCCCAAAGGAACCACTGACCCTGAGGCCATATATTTCAAGATTCTGGAAATTTTATCATGTTTTATTTCATCATAAATGGTTGATTAATACCAAAGAGCAGATTTCAAAGCATTTATTTATTTTCAGACTTTGTAACCCCTTCCCCCCTTCGATACCCCTTACCCAGGGGGCATGAAATTAACCATTTTGCTAGATGCACATTTCTTCATCATAAATATATACAGTGTGGTGCCATAAGTGTTTCACGGTTACAATTACTGAAGAAAAATTAAAACTATCTTTCAACCTTAATCTCTGTTTTCTATAATATTATACATCGTTCTATAATCATTTTTGGATATAAGAAAATAGAAGTTATGTACGTCATTCGGGATTCCCCTGGTGCACGTGGGGCTATTTTTAGATATCCTAGCAGGCGTAAACAATCATGGCTGCAAATCGTCGTGAAATGTCTTCAGCTCTAGAAGAACAGATCGTGCGTCTTAATGACGAAGGTAGAAACAAATCTGAAATAGCCAAAATTACAGGATATGACCGCTCCACAATCTCCAAGTTTTTGAAGAGATTTTCTATGCGGCAAAGTGTCACGAATAACCCTCGAAGCGGATGACCAAAATATACGACTGATCAGTCAGATCGCGTCTTGAACAGGTTCGTTATGAAAGATCATAGGAAAAGTTTGAGTGATTTAACATCAGAATTTAATAGATCTATACCAAATCCACTGTCAAAACGATCAGTTCAGCATAGATTGCAGTTTCTGAATTATAATCGTCGGAAAGTTGCCAAGACTCTTACCATCTCGAATGTGAACAGACAAAAGCGTGTTGAATGGTGTCGAGATCACAAACAGTGGTCTGTGGATCAAAACTGGAAAAAAGTCATATTTTCTGATGAAACTCAAGTCATGTTGGGAACGGACAGAAAAGTTTATGTCTGGAGAAAGGCCGATGAAAAATGGAGACCGGAGTGCCTCGGAATACGTTCGGTCCTTCATGGTGGAGTCTGCCTATCTGTTTCGTCTTGGGGCTGTATCTGCTATTCAGGAGTGGGCTTACTTACACCAATAGATGGAAATTTAAACACAGATAAGTACATCACCCTTCTAGATAATAATTTGTGGCGAGTTGTTGCCAAACATTTTAGTAACAACCCCTGGATATTTCAAGACGATAACTGTCCTGCCCACAAGTCAGCTAGGGCTGTAGAATGGAAACAACAAAATAATATCCCTTGTTTAGAGTGGCCATCTCAATCACCAGACCTATATCTCATAGAAAATGTATGGAGATCAATTAAAATTAAACTTTCAACGGAGCAAGATAACATCAAAACAAGCAAATTCAAAGAATTGTGGTCCCCCGCTTTCGGTGTCTTTGTGGGTGGGATGTCATTTTTTATGACATATCGTGTCAAATTTTGTCAAAGGTAATGCACATGTCAGATATGAAAGCCCTATCTCTTCTCAATCAAAAGTTGTAAGGAAGTGAACCTGATGACCCCGTATGACAAAATAGATTATATATATTGGTAGTTTCTTAAGAAAAATCTTGCCACAAGTATATCATATGTGAAGTATGAAAACCCTTGCCCTAACCGTTCAAAAGTTATGGCCAAGGTCAAAGTTTTTTAAAAAGTAGGTCAAACTCCAAGGTCAAGGTCAAAGGGTAAAAGTTCTTGGTATCCAATGAAAGGTCTCCTCACAATGATTACATATGTGAAGTATGAAAGCCCTAACCCTTACCATTCAAAAGTTATGGCCAAGGTTAAAGTTTTTTCATAAGTACGGAAATCTCTAAGGTCAAGGTCAAAAGGTCAAAGTTGTTGGTATCCAATGAGAGGTCTTGCCACAAAGAATACATATGTGAAATATGGAAGCCCTAGTATCTACCGTTCAAAAGTTATGGTCAAAGTAAAAGTTCGGAATTTTTGTGTATAAGTAGGTCAAACTTAAATGTCAAGGTCAAAAGGTCAAATTTGGTGGTACCCAAAGAAAGGTATTGTCACAAGGAATACACATGTGAAATATGAAAGTCATACCTCCACTAAATCAAAAGTTATGAGCAAGGTTAAAATTTTTGTGACGGACAGACAGACTGACTGACAGACGAATGAGATTTAATATCCCCTCGCTTTCGCGAAAGCGGGGGACAACAAGAAGAACTTGTTGACTGTGTGCTGCAGGTCTGGACGTCCCTCACCCCAGTGTATATACATGGTTTTATATGAAACCTTACCAAACAGACTAAATGCTGTAATTAAAGCTAAAGGTCATGCCACCAAATACTAAATCAAAGGCCTGAAGGGCCTGCGAGTTGACTCGCTCGAGTCAATTGAGCTTTTTCATACATCTGGGCACCATTCCTTAATATATTCAGTTTATTTTGCTTCTTAAGAGATTGAATATTATATTCCTGATCCATGTTCAGTTCATAAATAAAGTGTATATTGCTTTTCCTTTATATATACAGGTTGGCACTAATGGGCTTCCGTATTATTTTGCCTGGATTCTATAATGAAATTAAGCACATTAGCTGAAGTGGTCAGTGTTATGGAATAATTAGGTTAAAGATTCTCACAGCAAATCTGGATTCTAAAAATAGATTTTCAACAACAACTAGCTGCAGCTAATGAGAGCAGCAGGTGTTTGTGTTAGGGAGTATTCTAGGTCAATTATAAATAAACTTCAGATGGGAAGATTAGATCCGCCTAACATGCTTGAACATATATTCATACGCAGTAATTGTACATCGTACAGATATTTAATCAAAAATTTCTTTAAAAGCATGAAGGCATAAATAATGTTACAGTATGAAATTTTATACAGTCTTTACCTCTTAAGTTTATACAATCACTCAAACCAAAGCATTTTTTGCTAGAACTATAATATTTGGCGTATGGATCACCTTGATGAATGTGTGATAAATTTTACAGATCTGAAATGGCTATGTCAACAGGGAGTAGCTCGCTACGCGAGCCAACTCAAAAAATCAGAAGTCTGTAATCAACAATAGTAAGGTAAGTGGATTTTTTGTAACATTGAATTTTAGTACTAAGCAAGGTTGACGTCACGATAACGTGAAACACTTATGGCACCACACTGTATATACTTGAATCATTTGCATAATACCCAGAAGCAAAGGAAAAGATTTTCAAAGAATTAATGTATTTTTAATATAAAATCAAGAGTCCCCCCCTACACCAAATGGCAAAACCCCTGACCCCAGGGCCATAAAATTCACAATTTTGGAAGAGGCACGCTTGCTTATCATAACTATGTACTTAGTTTATTTAATACCAAGGAGCAGAGAAGATTTTCAAAGAATTAATGCATTTTCAATATATAATCAATAGAGCCCTGTCCCAACACCAGAACCCCTGACCATGGGGCCATAAAATTCGCAATTTTGTAAGAAGCACTCTTGCTCATCATAACAAAGTACATTTACTTTATTTAATACCCAGGAGCAGAGGAGAAGATTTTCAAAGATTTAATGCATTTCCACAATATAATCAATAGAGCCCCGCCCTAACATCAGAACCCCTAACCCAGGGGCCATGAATTTCACAATTTAGGAAGAGGTCTCAATGCTCATTACAATCATGCCAACAGTTTGACTGCTTGATGTCCAAGAGTAAAGAAGAAGATTTTTTAAGATTTCATTAATTTAAGTGGTTTTGGCCCCATCCCTCAGGCCCCAGGGGAGCGAGGACCATAATATTCACAATTTTGGTCCCCTTCACTCATAAATGCTGTATACCAAATTTGGTTGAAACTGCTTCAGCGGTTTCAAAGAAGAAGCTGAAAATGTTCAAATGTTAACACAAGACTCACAACAAATGACAACGGATGAAAGCGGATAGCAATAGACCTAAAAAATCATATTCCTCATGCTGAATTAAAAGAATGATATTGTTACAGCCGTGATTTTTGACCTCATCAAAACTGACCTTGATGACATTTTTGTTTTTCTCCATCAAGTCCCGAGCTACATCAACCATCTGCTGCAGGCTCATGTGGGTCTTTGTCTAAAATCAATGATAAAGAAAGTGGTTATTAAAAATAATCAACGAATAGAACTACTGAAAAAGAACAAAACATTAACTTTTTCAAGTTTTGCACTGATCAAAAAGGCTACAAAAATATTTGTTATAAAAAATTATACATGTAGTTAGTTAAAAGGTATTATTGTTGCAGCTCAGTGCAAAATCAGAGATATTGTGCTTCTTTTTCAAGATCATATATCAAAGCCATGGTGATATGAGTGGAAGCAGCTCATTATGATTTTCAGTAAATAAAATCTAATCATGAAACACAATCAGGGTGAGTAGCTGCAAAATGGAATTCTGACCCCAACACTTTAGTCGCTGAAAAAATCAAAGATTTAGATACAAACCACATGGCAGATTTTTGTCCAGGCAGCTCTGCAAACATCAGGAGAATGGTTTTTGACCTTGACCTCCTCCCACACTGACTCCGGCAGTCTGTTGTGTTGTGGGGAGGGCTGCTTAATGGATGACTCCAACGAGTCTAAGAGAGATCTAAACTCATCCATAGTCCAATCTGCACAAAAAATAAACAACTATATTACACAAATGTCAAAATCAAGCTTATTAAACAAATATCAAGATCAAGCTTATTACACAATTGTCTAAATCAAGCATTATCATTATCCAAACTTTAATTATCAGTTTTACAAATTCTGATAATAAAACCATAATTTTTGGTAAACTTTCTGAAACCAATAAATTACTCCTCCCTTAATACCGCATGCGTCTTCACTTGGGCTGTGTATTGAGCAAAGAAATTTCGATACAATACAATATTCTTTAAAGCGACATGCAATACATTTGATTCTTAAACAAGTCTATTAAAAAAGTCATTTAATGCATGAATTTATAAAGACAAAGTGATTTATAATCCATTTCAAAGTTCTTGCCTCAATGCTATTACAAATAACCCTTCAAATCAAAACTTTTAATGACTGAAAAATCAGCATGCTAAAATAAAATCTTCTAGTATCAGACCTGACTACCCTTTTCATTGCAAGGGTGTGATTTCGGTACATTTTTTGGTGGAATTTCAGAGGTAAATGCGTAATCAATCATGTTTTTCTATTTTTTGTTTTACTATAATACTTTAATTTCTTTCAAAACCGCCGAAATTGTACAATACTAAACAAAGCTGGCATAAACTTTTCATAATTTTTTGAAAAAGTGTAGTAAAATACAAGTATCCTACATCAAACTCATTTCAACCGTACATCTTTTATGAAGCATTTGGTCAATTTGTATCAAATCAACTTAATTGGAGGCTTGCGTTTGAATGTTAAAACAAATCATTTTAACATTGCTTTTTTAATATTTTTTAACACTGCTTTTTCTCTATCTTCTTCTAAGAAATGTTAAAATAAACTTAATTGAGCATAGAAATGGCTGTATGTTTAGCAATATCGTTTAATAGTTAGGTAAGTAGTGCCTTCTCGTCTTCTTCCGAATATTCATTATACGAGTTTACATGTAACTACCAGGTATACTACGTACATTATCGAACTGGTCTTTGATTTACTTTCATAAGAACTTATTTCATTTCTGCATGTCGTACTTTAACTTTGAATTTAGACGTCGTAATGAAATTTTAACCAAAAATATCAAAGCGTAAAATTAATATAAGTGGCATAATAGCGTAATTTTGTGGTAAAAAGAGAAAGAATTATGCCAAAAGCGGAAGGGTAGGCAGGTCTGTAGTATGTATTTTGTAATAATAATATAGGTTCTGCTATGTCTTTAATGATTATATTTTATTGTAGCTGCAGATCTGTAGCTCTCCGAAAAAAATTATTGATAGACCGGAGAGCTACAGTGCCACCCATTGAAAAAACTGTATATTTATTGCGCACAAAAAAGTGCGCTCGATTCTGGATTAATTCTTCCAAATTCTTACTTTAATTGCAAAAAATGGAAGATTTTAAACATTCCTTTCTCCTCTGTCAAGTACTCTCGTAGTTGACATCTGAACGAAGCATATTGGACCGAATTATCTTTGAAACCAAAATGGCAGTATAAATAAGCGAAATGTTCTATTATTACAATATCAGGGTCAGGAGGACTATTAACAACAATTATGAGGAATGTTTGGTTGTGGAAACAGCGAAAGAATATGTTCGGAACACACGGTTAGTAATGTTTTGAGATCACAGTTTAAAAACATGGAGAAATAAATCGAGAACCGAGCGCACTTTTTTGTGCGCAATAAATATACAGTTTTTTCAATGGGTGGCACTGTAGCTCTCCGGTCTATCAATATATTTTTTCGGAGAGCTACAGATCTGCAGCTAATTTTATTGGTCAGTTTTAAATTTAACAAGAGGCCCATGGGCCACATCGCTCACCTGAGCACTAAGAGTAGGAAAAAGTAGAAAATGGCTTTTTATAATGTAAAGTTTAAATCCAAAAAGAGTCCCATGACCAATCATGGATTTGCTATTTTTTTGAAAATGATTTTTAAAGAATTTTCCTATATATATATCTTTAAAAACTTTGGTCTGCCATTTTGGCCCCGCCCTACCCCTGGGGTCATGATTTGAACAAATTTGAATCTACACTACTTGAGCATGCTTCCATATAAATATGATGAATCATGGCTTTGTCATTCTTGAGAAGAAGATTTTTAAAGAATTTTCCTATATATTTCTATGTAAAACTTTGGTCGGCCATTTTGGCCCCGCCCTACCCCGGGGGGTCATGATTTGAACAAACTTGAAACTACACTACCTGAGCATGCTTCTATATATATATGATGAATTATGACTTTGTCATTCTTGGGAAGAAGATTTTTAAAGAATTTTCCTATATATTTCTATGTAAAACTTTGGTCGGCCATTTTGGCCCCGCCCTACCCCGGGGGGTCATGTTTTGATAAAACTTGAATCTACACTACCTGAACATGCTTCCATATAAATATGATGAATTATGGCTTCGTCGTTCTTGGGAAGAAGATTTTTAAAGAATATTCCTATATATTTCTATGTAAAACTTTGGTCGGCCATTTTGGCCCCGCTCTACCCCCGGGGGTCATGATTTGAACAAACTTGAATCTACAATACCTGAGCATGCTTCCATACAAATATGATGAATTATGGCTTTGTCATTCTTGGGAAGAAGATTTTTAAAGAATTTTCCTTTATATTTCTATGTAAAACTTTGGTTGGCCATTTTGGCCCCGCCCTACCCGGGGGGTCATGATTTGAACAAACTTGAATCTACACTACCTGAGCATGCTCCCATATAAATATGATGAATTATGGCTTTGTCATTCTTGAGAAGAAGATTTTTAAAGAATTTTCCTATATATTTCTATGTAAAACTTTGGTCGGCCATTTTGGCCCCGCCCTACCCCCGGGGGTCATGATTTGAACAAATTTGAATCTACACTACCTGAGGATGTTTCCCCATAAGTTTCATCTTTCCTGGCACTGTGGTTCTTGAGAAGAAGATTTTTAAAATATGCCACTAAATTTTCATTAATTCCCAATTATCTCCCCTTGAATGAGGGTGTGGCCCTTCATTTGAACAAACTTGAATCCCCTTCACCCAAGGATACTTTGTGGCAAGTTTGGTTGAAATTGGCCCAGCGGTTCTTGAGAAGAAGTCGAAAATGTGAAAAGTTTACAGACAGACAGACAGACGGACAGACGGACAGACGGATGCCGGACAAAATGTGATCAGAAACGCTCACTTGAGCCTTCAGCTCAGGTGAGCTAAAAAGTTAAATATAATGTGGTATATAGTGATTAAAATTCCCATCTTTTTTCACAGAATTAGAAGAAAAATGCCTGTGTGATACGTATTGGAAGTTATTTTTCGATACGGTATGATTCTTGAATATCGAAGCGTATCTATATATATTTACATTTCCAATGTCTTTGTCTGAGATAAAATTACAAATTGTAAATGTACTTTATTTCCCCATTAATGTTTTGGTGCTGTTAAAAAAAATCACATGCAGGGCGGGACAAATAGCTAGACAGAAGCCGGGCTTGGGGCACGTGGATTGACGGAATCAAAGCATGTAAATATAAGGAATAACTGTCAGATTTTAAAATTTCATGACGATGATCAATCAATTGGCTTGTGTGATAATTTTATGCATAAACGCCTTTGGTGTTTATGCAAATTTTCATGCAAGCCAATCGATTAATCAATCATGAAATCGAAAAATAAGGCAGTTATTACTTAAATTGATACAGCCCTAGTCTTCACTCATTTTTACCTTTTAAGTGTTTTCCGGCATTTTTGTCTTCTTTTTCCTCCTCTGTAAACACAAATGAAAACAAATTAGCTTTAACATTATAATTTAATATGATACATCTGAACTGTGGGAAAAAGACATTCTATAAATAGTGTCATTTGATATTCATAGGTAACTTATCTAGGTACAGACTTAATAACTCCTGGGGCTTCATCTCACTACCCAGATCAACGATTGTTAAGACTTGAAAGCATTTAAATATATACTTTTATATATAAAAAAAAAAAAACATTGCTAGGTAACATTATTTTACATACAATGTGCTCATCTTGATTTTACCGAAAACAAAGAGAAACAACTCAAACCACCATGAAGTTGTTGACAGTATTCGGTGTATTTAAAGGTCTCAGTTTTATATCTGAAGCACATTATACAGTAGAAAAGGTCAAAGATACAAGAGGCCCATGGGCCTTATAGGTCACCTGAGCATTATGCAACAACTTTCCAGTGATTGAATTTGATTCATGTTTTAATCCAGATGCTATGGCATTCACAATTTTGAAAGAGGCCCCATTGATCATCATAACAATACACTTAGCAGTTGCTTAGTTTGTTTACTTAATACCCATAGGCAGGGTAGGGGAACAAAAAATGCATTTCAAGTATAAATCAGTAATATTCAGCATGATCAGTAATGCCCCAATCACACATGAACCCCTCACCCTTAGGCCTAGATCCACACATTGCACAATTTTTGAAAAGGCACCCTTGCTTTTCAAAAATATTTGATTAATACCAAGGAGCATATTTCGAACAATTCATCCAGTTTCAGTATATAAGTACAGCCCCCCCCCTCCTTTATGGTACCCCTGACCCTGGGGCCTTGAAATTCACAATTCTGGAAGATTAGTACCCTTGCTCATCATAACTATATAGGTAGTTCATCTGCTTAATACCAAGGAGCAGAGAAGAAAACTTTCAAAGATTCAATGCATTTTCACTACATAATCAATAGAGCCCCACCCTATCACTAGAACCCCTGACCCTAGGGCCATAAAATTCACAATTTTGGAAGAGGTATTCTTGCTCATCATAACTTTGTAATTAGTTATTTCATTCCTAGGAGCAGAGAAGAAGATTTTCAAAGAATTCATGTATTTTCACTATATAATCTATAGAGCCCTGCCCTAACACCAGAACCCCTGACCCTGGGGCCATAAAATTCACAATTTTGGTAGAGGCACTCTTGCTCATCATAACTATGCACTTATTCAATTTATTTAATACCCAGGAGCAGAGAAGAAGATTTTCAAAGAATTCATGTATTTTCATTATATAATCTATAGACCCCCCCCCCCTTACACCAGAACCCCTGACCCTGGGGCCATAAAATTCACAATTTTGGTAGAGGCACTCTTGCTCATCATAATTATGCACTTAGTTAGTTTATTTAATACCCAGGAGCAGAGAAGAAGATTTTCAAAGAATTCATGTATTTTCACTATATAATCTATAGAGCCCCACCCTAACACCAGAACCCCTGACCCTGGGGCCATAAAATTCACAATTTTGGTAGAGGCACTCTTGCTCATCATAACTATGCACTTAGTTAGTGTATTTAATACCCAGGAGTAGAGAAGAAGATTTTCAAAGAATTCATTTATTTTCACTATATAATCTATACAGCCCCCCCCCCCCCCCCCCCACACACACACACACCTTACACCAAAACCCCTGACCCGTGGGCCATAAAATTCACAATTTTGGTAGAGGCACTCTTGCTCATCATAACTATGCACTTAGTTAGTTTATTTAATACCCAGGAGCAGAGAAGAAGATTTTCAAAGAATTCATGTAATTTCACTATTATAATCTATAGAGCCCCACCCTTACACCAGAACCCCTGACCCTTGGGCCATAAAATTCACAATTTTGGTAGAGGCACTCTTGCTCATCATAACTATGTACTTAGTAGGTTTATTTAATACCCAGTAGCAGAGAAGAAGATTTTCAAAGAAATCATGCATTTTCACTATATACTTATTTAGCCCCGCCCTAGCTCTAGAACCCATGACCCCGGGGCCATGAATTTCACAATTTGGTAGAGGACTCAATGTTGATTACAATCATACCAACAGTTTGACTGCTTAATGTCCAGGAGTAAAGAAGAAGATTTTTAAAGATTGCACTAATTTTAGTGGTTTTTGCCCCACCCCCCAGGCCCCAGGGGGGCAGGGACCATGAAATTCAAAATTTTTGTTCCCCTTTACCCATAGATGCTATATGCCAAATTTGGTTGAAATTGGTTCAGTGGTTTCAAAGAAGAAGCTGAAAATGTTCAAATGTTAACGCACGACGAATGACGGACGACGACGGACGAAAAGTGATAGCAATAGGTCACCTGAGTTTACTCAAGTGACCTAATAAAAAGGTCAAGACAAGGTCCTACTTACTGGACGTCGCTCTGTCCTCATCTTGTGATGAATCTGAAACAAAAGTCAATCAGGCATATTTACAGGTAAACAATTGTATATCATGCTGTCTCAATCAGGCATATTTACAGGTAAACAATTGTATAACATGCTGTCTCAATCAGGCATGTTTACAGGTAAACAATTGTATATCATGCTGAGTCCTAAAGTACTCAGACAGGAATTTATCATGTTTAATGGAATGAGACAAATCTTAACCTTAAAACTGTGGTAGAAGGAATACAGAAGTTTCGAATTAAAGCGGTGGACATCGGTACCTGGCCTGGGGACCATAAAACTTAGACAAGCTTACTTTCGATCTCAGTCTCACTTTTCCACTTTATATTTCTTTGGTGAAAGTGAAACTAAGATTAGAAGTGAACTGGTCTAAGTTTTATGGCCCCCAGGCCTGGTCTAGCTGGTCTCATATTTCCCCCCTCCCCTAGTCAGGGGCATGATGGAATCAAGCTATTTCTTAACATAACTTGTTTCGGTTACTTCATTTAATTACAGTGGACCTTCAGATATCCGGACGCCAGATATCCGGACGCTTCACCTTCCGGACGATTTTTCTCGGGAACGGATTTTTTAAACGTAATTTTGACTCATTTATCCGGAATTCCGCGTTCCGTATCCGGACGGCTCTTTTTTACTACAAAATGTATTTTTACGTTATAATTTGGTTCATTTATCCGGACGGTAAATTTTAATTTGTACTTCCACTCTTGTCAACATTCACGCCTGAACTGAGTGATAATTGTTATCAAAACACTGGCCGGATTGATTGTTTTTACAAGACGATCACCTGTGACCTGTTACATACATGCCAACTTTCCCGATTTTTTCCGGAGTCTACCGATTTTTAACCCTGTCTACCGCTTGTCTACCGATTAATTTTTTTCTCCCATTTCTACCGATATTTCGAAAATCCGGAATTTTTACCGATTCGCTTTGAATAATACAGTATTTCCTTGTGCAGAAAACATGGCTGTTTCAATGTTTATCGGTAGGTATCTGTTTATTGCCGCTGATAACAGGTAATCAACAAGGTGTCAACTGTGCTACCAGTCATTACAGTGGTTTTTATTGCTCCTGAACCTCATTAACAGTGTATTTTAACCGAGACAATTATGCCAGATGTGGAAATTTTAGAAATATACACGACACTGGATACAAACTGACAAACTTGTGAGAGTTCACACTTTACAGCAAACTTCCACAATATACGTATAAACCGTTTATAAAATGTGTTCAAGTTTTGGAATATTGCATTCCTCATTAAATCATAATCTACTTCATGGAAAAGACACTGCCAAAATCCAACATGGAAAAAATGTGCCAGCAAGTAAAAACCATTAGGACTGCCCAGAGTGATCAAAATAAAAAAGAAAGGAAAAGACCATGCCTTTTGCAGACTTTGATTGAAAAGTTAAAATGACTTAGGTAATATTCCCTCTGATTAAGAAAAAAATAATTTAACAATATTTGGTATAACAGTAGCCTTATAAACTTTGTAATTTACCAACACACAATGAACAGTTCAGCTTATTTTTACTAATATGTTAACTTTGTGTATCACATTCTTCAAGACAGGGTATATTTATCTTAATATTAACATATTAAATAATTTTGAACAAAATTGGGTTTTTTTAAAAATTTTAAATGATATTGTATTTGTGCTTTTCTTTAAGTTGATAGAGAAGAAAACACTTTTTGAACTAGTAATAATATATGATATAATTAAGGTAGTAGATTGATAATTCAGAAAAAACAACCTACAAAAAGTTATTTCACGACAAAACTCCGCGAATTAGGAACTTTTAAAAATGTCGTTACGCGCAATCTCCCCCAAGAAAATTTTCAAAAGTTGGCATGTATGCTGTTATGAATGACTTACGATGATTAGTCCACAGATTAAGCATGCTAAGTGGATATGGTCATAATATACGAGAGATCGATACACAAATAATGAAAATAAACAATTAACTGTGTCGGTAACAGAAAACAATTTTCTATTCAGTTATTTGTTATCTGAGAGATATTTATAATTTTAATTTAGTACAGGGCTGGTTTTAAATATTTTTCTATTTATAGACGGGACGACATAGTTTCATAATCTCATTGTCTACACGTGCACATTGTGTAATTTTCATCTGTAGATTAGTGGCAGTTATCGAAAAAAACCTAAAACATTCAATCAGATTTGAATAATTTTAGACAATCAATGATTTCGCTTGGGAAGATTACTGTGTGAATTTTTAATATGTCAGATTTAGCGTGGATGAGTAACTAGGCCTATTCAAATTAAAATTAGACTTGAACTCGATACTGACAGCTCGCTTGGGTGTAATCAAAGCTGCAAATGAGAGAATTCATCAATTTATAGGAAGTAGAAAGTAAAAATAAGCTGGGTAATTAAAAATCTGCCCATATAAGCATGCAGCATTATATCCAATGTGTATCATTCTGCTCTCCAGCTACATCCATGTCTACATGGCCGGCAAAGACAGCGCGAGTCGGCATTTCCGCCAGCTTAAAGAAAAAAAATCTGCCAACGCAAAGTAGATCTTCCACGTTCTTCATTGCAAGGTTTAAGGCAGTTTTTTATTGACGAGGAGAAAATTACTATTTTAAAATAATAAATTATCATTTTAATACGATAGTATTTATCTTTCTTTATATATATATGAGTTGAAATACAAATACAGTATACCTGGAAGAGAAATCAATAGAATTCAGATATCCGGACGCTTCACTTATCCGGACAATTTGCTTGGGAACCAAAGCGTCCGGATAAATGAGGCTCCACTGTATTACTAAATTAAAAAGTAACTCATTTGAGTAGAATGCCTATCAGTTTTGCCAAAAAACATTAATATTTTGAGTTTGCTGCTGATTTAAGATTTAACGCTAAGAAAATTGTAAATATATGTACTTCTTTTAATAGACTCAACAAACTTAATATCTCAAGAGCAGATATGATGATATTAAAAAATACCATGATATTTTTAAAGGAAAAATAATTTCATTTCATTAACATTTCAGAGGTCAATTACACATCTTCCACCAATTTTGCCAACTCCGAGACTAATTTTCCTAAAATCTTTGGATATTACTGTACAATCTCTATGCCTTACATTTTTTGTGCAAAGCTGTAGATTTTTGTGCAAGAGTTTTAAAGTGAGGAGGGTTAAGGATGAAATAACTGAAATAAGTGATAATCTGTTAGATTTCAATGTGTTAAATCTTAAAGAGAGATTACTTTTCCTGTCATGAATATTTTCCATCTACTTAATTACCCAAGCACAGCATGAATAAAGCTATACAGATGACAGTAGGTTTACAATAATGAATAGTAAAGTAACAATAACTGGAACCCCCCATATAGAACCACCTACCAGAGGTAACTTCTGACCCACAGTATAAAAATCCACCTACCTGAGGTGAGCTCTGACCCCCAGTATAAAATCCACCTATCTGAGGTGACCTCTGACCCCCAGTATATTATCCACTTACCTGAGGTGACCTATGACCCCCAGTATAATATACACTTACCTGAGGTGGCCTCTGTCTTCTTCTTAGGAGATTTTACAGGTTTCTGTACTTGAGGCGGTTTCTCACTGTCCCTCTTTTCTGTGAATAAATGTGGTATCAATATAAAGTTTAAGTATACCATTGAGGGAGTCAGCAAGATTCCAGTTCCCGAGTAGCAAGTCTATTTCCTGAGGCACAGCCGTAGGAAATAGGCTTCCTCGAGGGGAACTGGAATCTTGCTGATTCCCTAAATGATATACTTTAACTGTTTTATTATACCATTTTATTACTTGTAAGTTAATCAAGCCTCATTATGAATATTCATGATGTTATTTGGAACATCTCGGAACTTTTCATATGATTAAAAAGAATCACTGAGTGTTCTGAATAGGTGTGTATCATTTCATCAAACTGACACACCTTTTTGCAGGAAACCGTTTTTTTTACGGTGATTTTCAGGGAATTGGCAAAATGTATCAATTTACTTTTATATAGTGAAAAATCAGTAGAGGTCTAATAAATTTATACAAGTTTACACGATCTTTTAAAATCATTTTATAATTTAAATCAGAATGTAACAAGTTCCTTGATCATGTTGATTGGATAGAAAATTAAGTTTATATTGTACAACCAATGTTACCTAGATTATCATATGACTTGTATATAAAGCATATCATTATAAATAAATTGGTAGAGGTCTAATAAAAAGATATTCTACATAACGTATTGTGACAATTTATCAGTATAAACAACAGCTTCACTTCATCTGATGCCAGATTATTTGGACTATTTAATTCTTTCCATCACATTATTACGACTTGTTTTTTTGTTTTTTGTTTTTTTGTTTAAACCTCTTCACACCTTTTTTCAGCTTCTTTTTCTTCTTCTTTAACTTTTTCTCTGAAAGTAGACACATACATGAATAGTGAAGCTATTTTCATAAATTTCATTAAATTCATCACGTTTATGTAAATTAAATGAAAATGTATGAACCATTATTGACCAATACTCACTTGGGTTTTTCACAGCATCTTGATTGTCTCCCCTCTCTTCATAAAAAAATGAATTGTTAATACAGTTACAGACAGGTAGTGACAGAACTCTTGGATAGATTTATATTTTGTAAAGGTAAACAACCTAACAAAGTACACACACAGGAACACTGAACAGTACTCACCACTGGGATTATTTTCCACCCTGTCTTCATTTCTTTTCTCTGGAAAAATAATACTCAGTTTAGCAATTCTTTATGCATTTTGAAATGAGGGAAATCACTCCAAAAAATTATGCTTTAATGACAAATTTTATAAAACCATTGAATGCATGTATGATTATGCATGTTAAACAGAGGCTACTGAGCATGATATATATATCTGGATACAAACTTAAACTGATTAAAACTTGTCTAGGGGTACTACGTTTATACATGTATAACTACTGGTAACACTACTTTTTATTATGCAGAATTTACTCACTGACAGTATTTCATTCATTTGTCTAAGAGAACTACTTTTACACATACCCAACTTCTTTTTCTTCTTTGGAGATTTTGATCCATCTTTTCATGAAAAAATCCAAAATGACATTATTGTACTGCATATATCATGATATATTGTTATGTTATAAGAATTGGTATATATATGCATATATTTATTTTGCTACAGGAGAAGAAAAGAATTCAAAAGCTTTGCCCTCCCCTGAATCTCCAGTAATGTACACTTCAAACTGACCCCCCCCCCCCCAAACCAACACACATTTACAACCAGCTTGTCAAACAAGTGAAAAAAACTCTCCAAAAATACTAAGATTTAGCTATCTATTATCATGGCAATACACAAGTCTGGCTAATTGTGTTTGGTAAATGTATCATTATATTCAGCATTATCATCAGTATCTACTTTAGTACCAAAAATTCTGATTATATCCTCTGTTGTCCAATAAACACAAGAATAAAAGAATGTGGTTTTTATAATGTATTAAATTCTTGATGTTTTATTTCAGAACATGCTTGAACACTTGAAAGAAATTAAAATACCATGCAGCAATCAAATATTATAAAAGTATAATTTTTAAATTGTTTACATTTACAGTTCAATTAGATTTTTTGAAGTTGGAGATATGAAAATGTGTTAAATACGCTTTTTAAAATTGGTAGTTTTGTATATTGTCACATGGCGTAATAAATGACATAAAATGACTCATGTGACTAGAGGATGTTACACTAATCCATAAAAATGTACAAAAGTTAATTGTCTTCCGACATTCAATTGTAGCCCTGATTGACCAATCAATGCCAGCTACACAAATTATTATACCTCATTATTATTATTCTACACAGCACGTTATCTGATTGGTTCTAGATTATCAGTGATCGGGCCGTAAAACTTCCTATTTCATGGTTTTTGGCATGCTTTCCATCATATTCCACCTCTTTGGATACCTAGTGCCTTTTCCAACACTATTAATAGCTATCGATTGTTCAAAGAAAACTCCTGAGATTAGTAGACGTCACAAAAGCCTGTATAACGTTACAAAATTGATGATAAGTGATGTGTCAAAGGGTTTCAGTAACTTAACGTTTAAAATTTTAGAGCAGTGTGGAATTTGAAATTTTATGTTTATTTCAAAGTTTTGCTCGTTTTGGTATAATAAACAATTCATTGCATTTTTTTATGTTCCCCTCAGGTGAAACCCTTGGGGAATATGATTTTTCTTGGCTGAATAAATCTTCATATTTCCCTCACTATCATGCAATAAATGTAAAAAGGCTGCACTTCTCAAGACAAAAATATGTACACCAGTATATCCTTAATACAATACACATACATGAACAGTACTCAGCACTGGGTTGATTTTCCTCTCCGAATCCTGTGTCTCCATTTTTTTTGTCTACAAAAATAAAATTCAGTTTAGAAGGACTACCAGTAGCACTACCTTTTCTGCAGAATTTAATCAATGAACTACTTTTACACATACCTAACTTCTTTTTCTTCTTGAGAGGTTTTGCTCCATCTACTCATGAAAAAATCCAAATTGATGACATTATTGTACTGCATATATCATGATATTGGTATATTATAAAAATTGGTAATCACAAGAGGCCCAGGGGCCACAGCGCTCATCTGAGCACATCGGCTAGGAAAAAGCACGTATCAGATCAGAACTGAAAGTTTACTGAGGTGGAGGGGGGGGGGGGGGAGGGGGGGCTTTAATTTTAACCCCCCCAGGGGATCATGATTTGAACATGCTAGAATCTATATAACCTGAGGATGATTCCATATAAATATTACTAATCATGGCTTTGATGTACTTGAAAAGAAGATTTTAAAAGGTTTCCCTATATATTCCTATGTGAAACTTTGGTCGGCCATTTTGTCCCCACCCTACCCCTGGGGGTCATGATTTGAACAAACTTAAATCTACACTACCTGAGGATGATTCCACATGAGTTTCATCTTTCCTGGCCCAGTGGTTCTTGAGAAGAAGATTTTTTAAGATTTTCCCTATATACTCCTATGTTAAACTTTGATCGGCCATTTTGGCCCCACCCTACTCCTGGGGGTCATGAGTTGTACAAACTTGAATCTACACTACCTGAGGATGATTCCACATGAGTTTCATCTTTCCTGGCCCAGTGGTTCTTGAGAAGAAGATTTTTCTCTAATTCATAATTATCTCCCCTTGGAAAAGGACGTGGCCCTTCATTTGAACAAACTTGAATCCCCTTTACCCAAGGATACTTTGTAGCAAGTTTGGTTGAAATTGGCCCAGTGGGAAGAAGATGAAAATGTGAAAAGTTTACAACAACGACGACAACGACAGACAACGTACAAATTTTGATCAGAAAAGCTCACTTGAGCCTTTGGCTCAGTTGAGCTAATAAAATGCATTTTGCCATAAACATACAGGGTGTTTCATAATACAGTAAAACTCCTTTAGTACGAACCAGTTAGAGCACTGATTATTTCCTGTCCTTATAATTGCTTTGATTATTTTTCTTGCTAAAAATCGGGGGTTGGTTTATGACCTTTCGTATGATTCTGACACATTAAACAATTAAAACACTTGTTAAATGTAATTTTACTGTATCTTAATCTTATCGGCCTCTTGATCAAATGATTGATAGTTGACAAATGAAATATGAATTATGCTAAAACTTGTGGCAGTTGTTCCAAAAAACAGAATGAGCGATAAAAATAGAAACTGGAAACTTTGATTCTATTTTATGCGGGTTATCAGTTATGCATATTCGGGACGTATTGGACGATAAAGTGCCACACCACAGCATGATACGCCCGTCAAAAAATAAATATTTTTTTTGAACAGTTTAGCATCCAAGAGAATCACAACAATCTTGATGCTAAGATTTCCATGATTTTTCCATTCCTTAAAATATTTATCCATCCCCTGTGATGTAGGCATTAATTTATAATAAATATTACATCATGATAGATGTCTATGCTGGTTGTTTTAGACCTTGTCAAATGCCCATCATATTAAACAAAATCAAATTAGTCTTACCTTAATCTATACCAAATTAATTTTGAAAAGAAAAGGCTGGCCATCAAATGACATGCTATAAACTGACCAGCAGTTCTTCTGTCTAATCCCCAAAGGATACAGATAAGACTGCTTGATCAGAGAGCCTTCCTACACTGAACTCATTAATCTTTAACTGGATGCTTGTCTACTCATTACTACCAAGAGATAAATGGGTCTGCACTATCTACCATAAATTTTTTTAAACATATAAAATACTCCAAGATTTTTTTTTGGTTGAGATTTAATGTCTGACAGGTTTTATTATGTAATTCATATGGACATGCTGATTCCATCCCACCCCATAACATTGGTTTTTAAATTAATAATATTATATAATATATCAGATTAGTCTATTATGCAATATCAAATTAGTTTTAATTACTTTTCATCAAATTCATTTTAAAACTTAGGCTAGCCAACAAGAGCTTTTTTAATCCAACAGGCTTAACCATTTGCCCAATACTCAAGGGATATAGATAGCACCGATGCTCTAGCTACCAGTTAGCTCCTCACACTAAACTCATTAATTTCTCTCTAATTTGACATGCAATTTTATCAAAATTCTTCTTGACCAGTGCTTGATAATAACACTCATGGGAGAGGTAGGATTTCTCTAACATACATTATATTTGTTATAGATTGCTGTCAAGTATATGCTTAAAAAAATAAGTATTTTCTTAATTCAAAACTTTTTTTAGGACAGTGCAATAATCTTACATTATTTGGGATGTGAAAATGAATAGTAATAAGACACATTTTTTTTTAAAATTTCACTTAAATTAAAGGTCACAGTGACCTCGAAATAGGTCGCGACACCTTCTACCTAAGATGCATAAACTAGCCAAGTTTGATGATTGTAAGTCTTATAGTTTTCTAGTTATGGGCCAGAAAGGATTTTTCCATATTTGGCTATATCTTCTTAATTAAAGGTCAGAGCGACCTACTTTTTGTGCGTGACACACCTTCTACCCAAGATGCATCAGATGATAAAGTTTGATAATCCTAGGCCTAATAGTATTAAAGTTATGAGCCAGAAACGAAAAAGCTAACAGACAGACGGACAGACGGACGGACACGAAGCCTATAACATAATATGTCCCGTCTTAAGACAGGCGTATAATAAGCTCCCCCAACTTCGTTTGAGGTGAGCTAAAAACCAATGGGTATTTAATGAATGTAATAAATTACGTAATACGCAGGGCAAAATGAATCACTGTGTAGGACAACTTTCCCAGATCCCTTTATTATTCAAACAATTTCAATTTCTTATACTGGGCACTGATGTAAAGATAACACAATTTTTCTTAAGGATATACGTTTGGTTAAGCCTCTATAACCATTAATTCATAATTTCAAGATTGTATTTATTTCCCCCCCATATATTTATTGCATGTATGTTTAAAATTGAATGCTCACAGAGGTAAATTCACTACTTAGCCCTAAAAGATGGCGGCTTAGGGTGTCATAGGAAAAGGGTCTATACTAGGGCTGTATCAATATATCGATATGTATCAATATTCAAGAAAAATATTGTATCGAAAAATTATTTCCAATACGTATCGGACAAGCAGTTTTTCTTCTAATTCTGCTAAAAAGATGGGAATTTTAATCAGTTAAGATTATATTTCACTTTTTTGAATTAAAACTGACACAGTTTTTTCAGTTATTATAAAATACATAACAATTTTATTTTAACATGTTGATTTTACAGTCATTAAAAGTTTTGATTGGAAGTGTTTTAGTTACTGACTATGGGATAAGAACTTTGAAATGGGTAATAAAACACTAAATTTTTTATGAAATCCATGCATTAAATGATTAATAAGACTTTTTTGATGGACTTTTTTTTAGAATCCAATATATCGAATATCGCTTTAAAAAATACAGTATCGTATCGTATTTTTTTGCTCAATACACAGCCCTAGTCTATACCAAGTGTATGTATACCCAATCTGGTCACTGATTGTTACATACATTTATAGAAGAGTTCAAATAAAATATTAACACTGTATATTCAAGAAGTAATTTTAATTTGGTAGCTAAATAAAGCTACTTTACGTGGGTAAATGTAGCTACGCAGATAATTTAAAATCTAGGCCAAAATAAAATTATAGTTTGTTTGGAATTGCCACCCGCCTCATTAAAATAACCCCCGCTCAAAAAATTTTATTGGCAAAATATTGACAATATTTTTTTTTTCGATTAGCGTCTTACATGTACATTGTTTAGTACAAGTTAGTTCGTTCATCGAAATAGCTTTTTAAAGTCGGGTTTGAGCTCACATTAATTTAACAACTCGGGTCAATAAAACGCTTTCTTCATAGTATTTATGATATAGCGATTATAGGTGGCGATTTGACAAAATTAGAGCCGCCAAAATGTCAGATCATGTTGGAAACATTCAAGCATTGTGTTGAAGAGCAGAACATTTATGCATCTCTATAAATATAAAAGGTGAATAAAAAGTAAATGCATTGGAATGATACATCGATACCTGGAAAGAGCTATTGTAATAGATTGCACATTGAACTTGATAAGTTAAATCCGTCATGTTGAAGAAAAAAATCGTTCAGTTCCCACTTAAAAAATTACATGGATCAGAAACGTTTTATCCCAAATACTAAAGGAAAAATGTTGTCTGTCAGTAATACAAGTCTTTGAAACGTAATGTTAAAACTGATGCATGGTGAAAACTCGAGAACGTACCAAGCACCCCCTCCCGGTTTTCCACAAAACATCCCAACTATTCCTTAGAAATTTTGTGTGGTTCAAACTGTTTGCAAGCGTTGTCTGAATAAAGGGGTAAATTTCAAAGAGAAATGCTACGAAATAGACTGATAAAAGTATTGTTTAATAAAGATTCTTAATTAAAATAAACTAGAAGTTTGATGCTGAAATTTAAATGAGATTAATATTTGAGTACCGTTCTGTGTATATCTTTTTTTTTCAAAATCGGACGTAATAATATTAGTAAAATTAAAGAAAGAGGATAATAAATGGAAATTACCACTGTTCATTGAGATTTTATATTTTTATCATTTAGCTTCAATTTGTAAAAAAAAATAAATAATAAAATCCCTCCCTCCCTCCTGGGTCTAAAAAACCCCAGGCGGCAATTCCAAACAAACATTTTTTTAAGGGTGGCCCTAGAGAACTGCTGGGCACGTGTTCTGTAATAAAGTAATATCACATTTCCATCCATAAAAATAATCAGAAAAAGTGATGAATACTTTCATTATATAGTTCATATTACCTTCGTCTTTTCGATTCATTCTAATAATGCTGAAGATGCCTACTTTTGATGAAATTTTACTTCTACTGTTTTAGTTTTCAACACTCCTCGATGTTTAAATAGCGCCGCCTGGTGGAACCATGTGCGATAGAAATGCCGATCCCGATATATTTACATTTTTTTTTATTAGTGGGATAAGCATTGTCATGCAATGCACTAGTTTACCACCTTAGTAACTTAGTTAAACTATCAATCACGCACGTAGCAACGGGGGGGGGTTCCCCGCCCCACTTTTTTTTTTAAACAAATAAATCTTTTTACTATTGAACATGTTCAGAAGAGGCCGATCACCCACCCACTCCTTTTTATTGTATTATTGTCAAATAAGGGTAATGTAGTAGTGTTTATATGAAATTTTCCCCCTCCCCCACACAAAATAGGATTATCGACTTTGGAGAATTTTCCTTTTTTTCTTTTTCTTTTTGCTTGTCAAGGTTTTTATTAGGTAAGTTGATTTTTTTTCTCTGGCTGCCCCGCCCCCCCCCCCCTTTTCAAAAAAGGTGCTACGTGCCTGTCAGTGATATTCATTTAGACACAAGAAGCCCATGTGCCTTAACCGAGTACTCAGCTGAGCATAATTAAACATTATAAAAATCAAACTAAATAAATATTTATTTGTTAACTATAAGTATGACTTGCGCCATATGTGTATTTAATTTTTGTCAAATTGAATAAATAAAAAAAAAAAAAAAATACGAGTAAAACAAAATAAATTGAGAGAAAATCTACACTTAGCTGTGCAGTGTAAATAATGTATAATTGTCTCCTTTATCTATCATTTACGGCTCAACTTTCACATTAAAAGCTATACAAGTAATATTTTGTTGACAGTTTTCTAATTTAATCATCGACTTTAACTTAATTATAGAAATTCACTATTTTGGTAAAGGCCCCCTTGATCTAGGCCATGCGTTAAGAATGTTTAGCTAAATACCAAGAAGCAGAGAAGAATATTTTCAAAGAAATATTGCATTTCATCGATGAAAATAGAATTTGCCTTGTGGATTGAAATAGATCTTGCACGATCAAATAGAATCATTTTAAATGGAGAAGTGACCACTTGCTAGTGGACAGCTGCAAATTTTGCCTTATATACTCGATACTCAGGGCCATTTAATTAGTAGTGATACAGTGGTAGAGCGTCAAAGTCGTGGAGTAAGGAGTTAATCCTCACGTGGATTGGAATCCTCCTTTGTTACGTGGAGGCCGGTCCTTCGGATGGCACTGTAAACCGAGATCCGGTGTCGCAGTAGATGCTGGCACATAAAAAGATCCCTCACTGTTTATTGCCAATGGCCCTTAGTATTAAGTGTACCATAAGGTACGTACACTGCAGCTCGAACCTGCAAGTGATTGCATCTCCAAATGAGTGAAAAATTTTCGAGAGAGACAAGCAAACAAATAAAACCCACCCTGCACTAACTCCATAACCCAGAACTTGGCAGAGGGCTCATGTAATGCCTTTTCAATAAATTATTGAATTGAACTGCAGATCTTTTAATGTTGTCTACGGAATAGAATGTAATATGTGTAGACTCAGTCGTAGTAATGGGCGTCGGTCTTACAATAAACATTTAAAACATGTTTCTTTTGATTTATTACTACCTTATGTACATGTAAATCAACAGTTATAGTTCTACATCATATTCGCTCCAAACTTTACTCTGTCCATTTGAAACCTTTAAATAGTCTTCTTGAAAAGGTCAAGGAAAGTCCATTTTCTTACTCCTCGACACCAGAATATAGACTCGGGTCTGTAATTATAGATATTGAAAATCATAGGCTTTTTAAACCCCACGTGTTCCTGAAGAAAATGCAGCTAAAGAAATCCGTCTTTTTCCTTAAACTTCAATATGACAATAAAGAAATTGACGCGATTAAAATAAGCAGTATCCTTAATCACAAAAGAGTCCAGTCTTGCATTCCACCATATTTCAAGTCAATTAAAGACTACACCCTGCATTCTACTAGTATATATACATCGACTATTGCTTCCAAACTTTTTAATTACAAGAACACTTTACATGGCCTGGATATCGAATATCTGAAACATAATCCTCCGTCGTGTTCTATTCAAATCTATTGGAATTTCCATGGATACAAATTGCACCCCGTTATAAGCAGATCTATTTTTGTATTCATATGAAGCAGAATTTGTCCTAAATCTTATACATGAAAAGAAGAAAAAACTTGCTGTGGCCTTCAACTCGACATTTAGATATCTCGACGAGGTATTGTCAAAATTAACAATGGTAACTTCTATTCTTATGTCGATACGATATGTCTTGGTGAGCTTGAGATAAAAAATACCACAGAATCTGACACATCTGTTTCATCTTTAGATATTTTACTTGAAAAAGACGTTAATCGTAAATTCGTAATCTAACAACCAAGCTCTATGATAAAAGTGATGACTTTAACTTTACAATTGTTAACTTCCCTTACTTATGCAGCAATATACCTTTATCATCTGCATACGGAGGTTATAATTATACCTCAGTTGATTCAATACGCAAGAGCATACTCTACGTATGGACAATTTCTAAAACTTGGTAAATTATTGATAAACAAGTTGATGAAACAAGAATATCAGCAGTCTCGTTTAAAGTCATCATTTCGTAAGTTCTATGGTCGATACAATGACCTTGTCATAAAATACAATTTATCATTGAGTTAAATGCTGACTGACGTTTTTCATGCAAATTGTTAGTCCATTATTTATACACTGAATTGACGACGGATTTTTCCGTTGTTTCCCAGTCATGACAGGGAGCACACGGCGGGTGTGACCGGTCGGCAGGGGATGCTCACTCCTCCACGGCCCCAGAACCCAACTCTGTTATTTTGGATGTCCGTGTTTGCTCTGCTCCTATTTTAAATTGTTTTATGAACTTTTGATCCTGAATACTGTTCTTTATCTCCGTATGTTTCATTACAAAGAAAAAGATTGTAAACTAGCTGCAGATCTGTAGCGTTATGGTTTTATATATCATATATATAAAACCATAAAGCTACAGATCTGCAGCTAATTGTAAATGTGCTTGAAATGAAAAATGTAGAAGACAACAAAAAGTGAAGGATCTTAAGAAATCTATAAATACTTCAAATCTATGAAGAGTTTATAAACACGGGCCTCTGGATCAGGTGCCCAAGAGGAAAGAGAATCCCCCGTTGACCGGTCACATCTGCCGTAAGCTGAGCCCCCGCCTCTCTTATAATTATAATGGCAAAGTCCATGTTTTGCTCTGGGAGACCCGAAATAGGAGTCAGATCAAAAAGTAAACTAAAAGGTTCACAATGCCATTATGTAGTGAAGAATCTGTGAAAGAATATAGTATTAAATTTTATTCAGTGGTATAGGAGGAGTTGCAGATAAGAGATGAGTATCCTTCAATATTATAGAATTTAAAGAATGACAGTGTCCAATATTTGCTCTGTGAAACCAAAAATATGTGTCCGATCAAAAAGTAAAATTTACCTTTTGATCGGACATATAATTATTTTTGGTTTCACAGAGCAAAAAGAAAAAAAAAGGAGTAGCACAGTAACTCTCTGTAACAAAGATTCCTGAATACTTAAGAAAGACTTAGTAAATTCTGCTTCATAGGAATATAAAAACAGATCAGATCATAAAGGAGCATAATTTGTGCCATTCAGTTTGAACTGTTTGTTGGAAGTCCTGGTCTTCGAAGACTACATATATGTGTTCAATGTGGAACTCAAGTCTCCTTTTAACATTTTAACAGGAAACGTAATTGTTCATTAAGTACTCAATAAAAGTTTTCAAATAATATATTTATTAAAACAACATCCATCATTTCACATGCATAATAAAATAAACCAAACTGATATGGACGGATATGGACAAAATCTTTCAGAATTGCAACAAAACTAAGTTCACTACAACAATATGAGAATTTTCAATACATTTTATAATTCTTTAGAAGTAAAGATATAGAAATATTTTTTTTTCAAGTTTTCATCTCCAAATTCCACAGAAGAAATTTTCTTATCATTTACTCAGTATTTTGTTATTTGAGTTTACTTTGCGAAAACTTTATCGACTCGCAGACTTTATTTTGAGTTTCGTTTACTCTTTAAGTCCCCCAAAAAAATGTAAACGTATATGCTACAAATATACAAAATGCAACAAAAACAATTTATTATAAATGCTTAAAAAATACAATTATGATAAAAATATGCAAATGTGTGTAATCAATCTACAACACATATTGATATATTTCTATATATCCAGGAGTATAATCTTGTTTAAAAATACATTCTGTCTGAAATGTCAATCTTTTATTATTCATTTAAATAAAAACACAAACGTAGCTTAATTAGTAGATGCCATAATTGTCCAAAAATTCAATTTATTATAGCAGTTTGTTCCAGGCGACATTATCACAGATTATAGCATACCCCCAATTTGCTTAGTTCAACAATTAATTTTAATCTCATTTATTGCCAGAAAAATAGATTTGAAACTTTCTTTCCTGCTTCTCCATTTTGAAAATCACATATACCCTCGCATGGGCTTAATTTTGTTGGTTCCTTTGCCGCCCTTTTCATCTTTGTTCTGTTTGTACATCATAATTGTAAACACAATCAATAGGAGCTGAAAAGGTCAAATATATATATATTTTTAAAAATTACTTTATAAGCTTGTCGAACCGTTTTATATGGAGGTGTATTAAAACGAAAAATGCATTTTTATTACCCTTTCTAACATAAGTACATGTACGTATCTAATGTACCTGAATTAAGAAGGCCACCGTGAGAACTATCCCCAGCATCAGAGGATTCTCAAACATCATGTCCCAGATCTTGTCGAAGCAGCCCTACAAAGAATTATTTTTCGTCATTAGTTCTTTTTTTTTAAATAATGTTACGCATGAAAAACACTGATAATTCATAAGATGTCGACATTTTATTTTTGTGCATCAAAAGGCTTCTACATTGAAACTTCTTAACGTCCAACATAATGAATAAAATGGCATCCGAAATACGTATAACTTTTATATTAACTAACAGCTAGGTAAGTACCTTGTTATAATAGCTCTTTGTTGAATCCAAAGGCTTCTTTGCACAAGTTTCCGCATCAGTTTTTGTTTCGGGGAGATCGACACAGCAGGCAACAGGCGTGTCCAGTGGGTCAGTTTGACCATTACGCATGGTGGGAGTGTTGTTCCAGCTTTTTGCATACAAGTTAAAATCATTGTAGTCCTCCACACCACAGCATTTCAGCTTAAAAATACCAGAAGTAAATATCAGTAATTAAAAAATCAGTAAATAAAATTGATTACAGGAAATCATGACAAGGAACACATGGCAATTGTGACCGATCGGGAGGGGATGCTCACTCCTCCATGGCACCTGATTCCACCTCTGATGTTTTGGAGGTCCGTGTTTGCTCTGCTCTTATTTTGTTAAATGGACTTTTCAGCTTTCACACGGTACACTCTCTCCACATATTTCATTTTAAAACTCCATTTAAAAAGTTTATATTGAAAGAGGATATCTTCAAAAATATTTATACTTAAGAAATAAATACAGGAACACATAATATAAAGAAGTCTGCTTGAGAATCTTCTAAATATCAGCCCGAATTACCTCGACCATGGCGGCGTTCCAGAGCATGGACTCCACGTTTACGCCCGCCACTCCATGGAAATCTTTGACAGATACCTTTAACTCTTCTCGCACTGTGTTTTTCACCTGAATATTAATATTTATAAATATGCAAAAACATTTCATAAGAAAGTGATTATATAATAAATAAAAATTATCAAAAGTAATCAAAAGAAGACTCACGTATATATAAAATACACGGATAAAATAATACAATACAAATTCGTTGTTTATGTAACCTGAATGGAGGTAAGCCATAAGAAAAGAAAATGTTACCCGTCCAGTTGTTAATGGTAGAAATAAAGAATTACCACTGCGGAGGCGTACATAAGGATCACCATAATTATCTGTCCGAGCAATAGTACTATCAGAATCACAGCATACTACAAAATAAAGAGGTGGACAGTTCCTTAAACAGGTGTTTGTTGTTTTAAAAAGTGTGACGGACCCAAAACAAATGCATTCAAATGAGACCAAAACGTTTGTCTCAGGGGATTAAAATAAATTCATTATCCTATCAAGAGTGTTTTTTTCGAGAAATAAAATCTTTGTGACCGAACAGAACTTACTGTGATAAGAAGAACCTGTACTTTACAGCATGCCCCACAACAACCGAAGAAAGACACGCCCAGTAGAATGGCTCCCAAGACGATCAGGAGAATGGCCACGGTTCCGAAAACGGCATTCAGGCTGAAACTACTGGTGTCAATGGTTGAACCTGATACAAAATATAACCTTTTTTTGGTTACATTCTTTCCCAATTGAACATACCCCCCTTTTCTTTTTTATTGAAGTTTTAATTTTCCCCAGTGTTTGTGATGTTATGACAAAAATACCTGTTTTAGAGGCGAGTGTCTCTAAGGCAGCTTTGAATTGACTTTCTGCGTTTTTAAGGAATTCGTTGTCTGAGAAGAATTTTAGGACGATTCCTGCAGCCAACATCACCGTGGAAACAATCTGTGAACAGACAGAAACAGGGAGTACATTAAAAAAGGAGCTTAATTCAGCTAACTAGTGGCTCATATAAATATATCTACAAAAGTAATTGAAAAAAAATATGTTCACTGAATACAGTATAAGATGTAATATATTCATTATCATAATTATAATTAATATTGTCTTTAAATATAATTATGAAAACCAGCCTGATATGCAGGTACTTGTTGATAGTGAGAGATAGTGTATAATTCCTTACCACAAATATAACATTGAGGATGACCACTACAAACCGACCCACTCCGGTGAAGAAACCCATACTGAAAGCTAAAAAAAAATAAACAAGTATTTTATTTTTATGATAATGATTAGAGGATTTTAATAAAAAGAAAGATACTGTTCTTTTCATTTCTAAAAACTGTCGAAATATGGCTAGAATATTGCCGATAAAAGAAAAATCAATCAATCATTTCTCAAAAGGTTCACTGGAAAGCAGTCTCCGTCACGATACTCCATTGATAAGTAATTAACCTTACAATATATATTTTTTGATTACGAGTAAATATCCTCAATGCCCCTGTCGATTAGTGTATTATTTGCTATTATGCAAGTCCATTTTCAGTGTGAGATATCGAAAAGATTTTGTAAAAGGTGAAAATAACGAAAGTGAAAAAAAATCCATAAACATTACAAATATGTGCCTAGAGTATGGAACATGGACCCCTGGAAATTACAGAGGTGGGATCCCGTGCCTTTGAGGATTAAGCATCCCCTTATGAGTATATATAAACCAGATATGCAAATCAACTACATATGAGTAAAGCTCGTCGTATGAACGGGTATTTGAGGCAGCGAAGAATCAAACCGTAGGCACAGGCTTCAGAGCCAATTTTTTGAGCCAAGAATACGAAAACGAGTTGAACAGAGGTATACACTGGATATTTTGCAAGGAAAGATATTATTATTAATAATTTAACAACAACACTTAATGATAAACCTGGTTCCTTCAACTTTTTATCGTCAATTTCCGTAATATTTGTGGCAATATTTCATTACCACCACCTGCATATAGAGTTGTCTCCCAGTTGATTCGATACACAAAAGCAAGCATGCGCTACGAACAATGTTTTGAACAAGACAAGCTATTGACAAACATGTTGATGAAACAAGGATATCAACTTGCTCCTTTAAGTCCAGCTCTCATTATGTCGAATGCTGACTGACATTTTTCATACTAATTGCTCGACCATTATTGATATTGACACTGAATTGTTTACGGAGTTTTCTGTTCGCCGGGTTATGAAACGTAGCAGACGACGGGTGTGACCGGTGCACAAAGGATGCTTATTCCTCCATGGCACCTAATTCTACCTGATGCTTTAGAGTCTGTATTAACTATGCTGCCTGTTTGTATTGTTTGAATAGTTTTGGAGCTTGATGTCTATTCATTATCTCCGTATGTTATAAAAGAATAAAAATAATATTTCTGTTTTTTTCATTCTTGATGCTTAGTCGTTTGTATTGTGTTGAGATAATACAAATTCATTTTTTATTTGATTTCATTCCTTTTAAAGAATTTATTTTTGAAGACTTGATTTTGATGTTGATGAGTTTTTATATTATGTTTAAAATTAAGAAGAGACCAGAATAAGCAAATCTACCGTAACAATTTTATGCGTAACATTTTTTTGACGCAAACCTTTGCAGGAGATATAAGGTTTTCTGTTAATGCATGTACATATATCAAGATAACAAAGATGAAGTTTACTTCATGTTTCTTAATTATACATTCTCGTCGTCAGCTTTAATAAATAGTCAACTTAGCATAAAATGATTCAGTAATGATTGTGTCACGAAATCCTTTTAACAATTTTAAAGATCTCTTATATTGATACATATAAAACAATGAGGCGCATGTACCCCAGCCACAATCCTTTTGTATGTATGAATGGAGTATACCTAAACAGGGACGAAGAATGAGGCAATGCGGATCTCAAAGGGATACAGGAAGAAAAAAATAAACCAGCTTTTAGAACATACACACAGTGTATATTGCATAAAAATATCTTCAGGCTGTTATTGAATTTTCAATTTTAATCAAACTAAAAAATAAAAATTGAGCTTTTGACGCTTTCAAAGTTTCTGATTTTTTCCCTAAAAAGAAAATGAAGAGCATTCCTATAGTATTGAATCTTCTCCCAACTTTTAATTTCTATCGGCTAGTATAGAATCATTAATGGGAACAAAATTAATTTTAAATTAAAAAAATTCTAATAAGACAAAGCTTTTATTTTAAATATCCTTGTGAGACTTTTACATCAACTTTTATATTTCAAAAGAAGTTTTTAGTTTTTCATGTTTGTTAACCTTTCCCCTTCAAAATAATGATGAATTTTAACTTGTTAAAAAGTTACTGCTAAAAAGGATCTCTAATGACAGCATTATGTTTAAAATAAAGCATAAATCTTACCTTCAGAAATATAACTTCCAACGTTTTAAAAATCTCTTTTATAATAAAGAATCCAGATAAACCTTGCCAGAAACGTCGATACTGTTGTTCAAATTCAAATCAGTTCATGGAAATCAGGAATCTTCCACCGACTTTTAACAGCCCCAGCTTTGTCACATTAAACAACGGAGCGGGCGATCCATTGTGCTAATTAAAATTTTAACAAAGACATCAGGTAGGTGTATAGTTAATACGTGTAAAATGCACTGTAATCAAAAATAAGTAAAATAAATTTAAAAAAATACATAAATAAAAATTTCATTGAAGATGTAAAATTTAGATTTTACTGGATTGCAGCAAATAATTCAATAATTCACGAATTTCAAGTGTCAAAATATCAAACCTAATCATTGAAGAACTTGACAATGAAATACAAGGATTCAGGAAAGACTCTAAGGTATTGGTCATCTTAACCAAGGGGAACATTAATTCAAAATTAAATGAGTAATAATTCATATCTCTACTACCCCAGTCACTCAGAGTGTATCTTTAGAACGGTGGAAGAAATACCTACAATAAACTGAATCGTGAACAAAGCAAAATACGGATCCCTTAAAATACCAGAGGATGGATCACGTGCCTAGAAGGAATAAGCATGCCTGCCGACACGTATAAACAGTTGTGAGCAATTAGATCAGAAAAACGGTATAATCCATAATCAAATTCAGCATAAAAACAATGACATAAACTGTAAAAATGGGTATACAGATTGCGCCAAAAGTAACTAGTAGCTCATCTATTTTTGTAAAAATGACACAGAATTTATTCGTAAAATTATATACGAGAAAGAGAAACACATGCTGAGGCCTCAAAAAAATTTAGGTCGTTGTTTCAAGAATTTCAGCATCTTCATCTGGGGTCGGCATTTCGTAGGTTCTGTTAACGTTGTCGTTATAAATACCTTGTCAGGAGTAAATATAACCTTTCATATGGTCGTATTTCGGCCGATTTATTTCAAGTCGATTCTTGGGTTTTTTTGTTTTGATACCAGGCGCGGATCCAGAAATTTTTCAAAGGGGGGGTTGAAGTATTTTTCAAAAGGGGGGTTGAAGGCGAAAACAGTTAAAACGTACGTTGTACACATACATATAGTTAAATAACTCAATAGAATATCGATACAGGGTGGAGTATGGTTTTTGAAAGTGGGACGTTGCTCAATTGTTTACTTGTATACATTACCAGAAAGTTTTTGAAAAAGAAAGGAAAATAAATCTCCGAACCTGAAAATCCTATTTTGTAAAGGGATGGGGTTTTATTTTGTTTTTACAAAATTTCTTTATATATTACAACATTAACCTTTCACCTTACATTTTCTATAGTAAAACACAACAAAAAAATTGGAACTTTCTTATTTCTCTTTCTTTTTGCAAATCCAAAGGGGGGGGGGTTGCAACCCCCGTAACCCCCCCTCTGGATCCGCCACTGGATACTGAATTTGACTTCGTTATATGGCCAGCAAGGAATTCTTTCTTCTCAAAGACACGTGATCCCACCTCTGGAATTTACAGTGAATTGTTTTTTTTATTTACCTTTTCAAGATAAAGTGTTTATTGTTTTTTTGAGATCGGTATTTGTTTCTTTTTCATCCCAGTGAACTTGAAATAAAAGATACCACAGTGTACACCATCTGTCTGGATATTTTACTGGAAAAAAAGTTAATACCAACCTAACAAAAAAACTTTCTGATAAACTTGATGACCAACTTTTCAATCGTTAACTTGGCTTATTTATGTAGCAATATACCCTGATCACCTGCAGACCGAGTTAATGTCTTCCAGTTGATGCGACATGTCAGAGTTTACTATAACTCTTCGTACGAACAATTTCTTAAACGAGACAAGCTACTTACAAACAAGGTGTTGAAACAAAGATAACAAGTTCTTTGATCGATTCAACGAACTTTACAAGCAAATACAACCTAGCATTCAATCGAACATTGACTAAGTCTTATGTTTTCGTTTTGAAATTGGGAATGAAATAAAAGATACCACAGAGCCTGACACATCTGTTTCATATTTGGATCTTTTAGAAGAAGAAGGCGCTAATTATTGTCTAACAACAAAATTTTATGCAGCAATATACCTTTGTCATCTACATACAGAATTAATAGTCATCATTTCGTAAATTATATGGTCGATACTAGGGCTGTTCAATAAATAATGTCCTCGATGCTCGGAAAGAAACAAAAGGCGCTTTTCAATGATTTAGTTCTTTTTTTAAAGTAAACCACATGTCCCTGACAATTTATTCAATTTCTGATTGCTTTTAGAACACATTTCTGATTATGACCCTTCGTATACTGGAATATGGCAGATCCTATAATTCCTTGACTTGTTTCTTCTTTCTGAAAAGTGTTTTTGTTTAAGTTTGGAAAGCATTAACTTTCTATTTATGTCCAAAACTCCTAAGTTACTCTTCATGGCGTGTGGGTTTGAAGGCTGTCCTGAAGAAATTCAATGTTGTGGATTCCTGATTCTGGTTCCATCCTCTCATAAACCTTTCAATTTTTTTTTTTTTGCAAAAATTTGCTTTCTACACTTCTCCAGAAATTGAACTGCCTCCCTGAATAAAAATTTGCTAAACAAGCCACTAATGTTAAAGAAAATGGCATATAAACTGTTTTGGGGCTTTTGCAATTCTTGGCTCTTCTCAGACCTTGGCTGTTTTTGTCAAGTGCATCTTATTGTAAATTTGTTTTGAGAGTTTGAAGCAATGTATTCAAGTTTCATTATCAGTTTGGATAATTACAATTTTTGATTTTTTTTAATTGTTTAGATATTCTTACACTCTGTTGTTTTCACTTACATGTATTTTCAAAAAATAGGGTGACCATTGAGAACTAAGCTTTTTTACTGTCAAATGTTTCTTTAAAACAGTGTTAACTACCCGCAAAATGATGCCTATCAATTTTGCTATGTGTCATGAAGTCAATCAAACATCATCAGTGATAATTTGTTGAATTTTGGCAAACAGTGCACTTGTTGTTGTAAGTCTTTGTCGCCAAGGACGGTACCCATTTTTTGATGCCCATGTGTCTTTAAAGCAGATATTGGTTGCTGTAAATTACACATATCTCAGTGAATATTTCTTTGGGATTCTTAACGAGATTCACAGCAGCTTTCATGAAGCGTTTGTTTTCACTCTAGTTTACTTTACCATTCATTTTTAATGCAGTGTCTCGAATAGCCCTTGTTTTCCAGCTTCTCATAATGAAACTATGTAATGAAAAGTGGTCACATAAACTGTAATCAATTCATTAAAGATTAAATCATGAGAGAAAGTCAAGCTTTATGTCATATATTGTATATCATAGAGCTCAGGACATTGATTATTAAACAGCCCTCGTACAATGTCCTTGTCAGCAAAAAGGTTTATCACTAAGTCAAATGCTGATTGACTTTTTTCATACTGATTGTTAGGCCATTATTTGTACACTGAGCTGTCGACAATTTTCTCCCGTTATTTCCCAATCATGACAAGAAGCACACAGCCGTTGTGACCGGTCGGCAGGGGATGCTCACTTCTCCATGGCACCTGATCCCACCTCTGATGTTTCAGAGGTACTGTTTATCTCCATATATTTCATAGGAATGAGAATGAAGACCAGAAAAATAAAAAATACTCCACCTAGGGAGCGTTGTGGTCATTGACCTCTTGTTACGCTGTTAAACTAACTTCAAATTTTCTTTTTTAAGGTAAAGGAAATAATAAAGATTTATTGGAAAGAAAATATGTATATTTAGTGTTAAATCATTACCCCAAGGTATCCGCGAAAGCAGTTACTTTAAGAACCGTATATAAGCAGAAGTTTTAGTGAGGATTTAAATTTAGAAATAATAGCGAGGGTGTCGGAATCGCTAGAATTGAATATCGCTAAAATTAATTCGTTTAATTGTAAGAATTTCTCTATTTTAAAATCGCTATAATTACACATCGCTAAAAATAAAATACCAAGTATAAGGACAAATCCCTGAATTTGCGTCTCGCTAAAATTTTTCCACTTAGTAGGTTTATCGAACAAATTTCAAATTTATTACTTAGGCCATTTTTGACACATAAAATTGTAAACGGATTTCCCCGTTATTTTCCCTTAATGACAAAAAGCACATGAATGGTGTGACCGGTCGGCAAGGGATGTTCACTTCTCCTTGGCACGTGAACCCACCTCTGATGATTTGAAGGTCCGTGTTTGCTCTGCTCCAAATTGTTTACTGATAAATGAACTTTCGAACTTTGATACTCTTTGTTATCTCCATATATTTCATTAAACAAATGCATAGCATTACTTAAGGATATATAACACAAAATTTTTATGCATGAATTGATAGATATTTTTATACTGATTCTAAACACAAATAATCAATCCAGGAAATATTTAGAAATCTTAAATCTTCTTTGGTGATTAGATATGCGACGATGTGTCGTTTTCTGTGTAATTCTGTACAAATACATATTTTTGACATTGTGACAAAAGCTTACATAATTCTCCCATTAATCTATGAGAAAAATTGCTGATTTCTTAAAAAAAATTCTATGGCATTTATACTCACACTATTAGGGATTATTCAAACTTCAGATGGAAGTAAAAACCAAAATCATGAGAAAATTTAGTAACCAAATTTAATACACGTATATTAAAAACAGAAATATTTATCGATCTTTTATATTAATCCTAAGAAATTTTAAACCCAATAAATTATTCATTGGCTCTCATGTTTTACTGTCAATTTAGTTAAAGGTGGAGTATTTTTTCAGTTTTTCTTTGTATAATTTTAGTGCTATCATAAGGTTGTTTATACACTTATGTGTCCCTATGTAAAAAAGTTTATCTTAATTATTAGTAATTAAACAAAATGAATCAATCAATAAACTTTCATTCTACCATCTCATGTCGAGTTTCTCGACAGAGGGCCTGGAGACGACATGCCAATGCAACAAAACAATTTGGATGTGTACGTGATTTATAGTTTTAGTCACCATCTTAGATATTCAATAACTAGTTTAGTATATATTTTGTAATACTTTGTAATAAGGGTTTCTTAATGATTT